ATCAAGGGGGGAGCGGGGAGATTCCGTTAAGACAGGTTTCCGTTTTATACAGGTTTCCGTTAAGGCAGGTTCGACTGTAATTGAGTCTTTGTTGTCAAATTTGATAGAAAGGAGTGTGTTTGAAGCTATTTGTGAAGTGTTTGATCAGCTGATCAATCCCAGCCATTGATATCAGGGACAGGTGCTCAGCCATGTAAACAAAGAAAACTGACTACCAATCAATGAGTTAGATGTTTTCGATAAAGAGGACTATCACAACAAACAGAAATATGAAGTGAGGACCCTTTGCGATCTGTTTGACACAAGACTTATAAATTGTCTGTGTTAGAAGTTGAAGGTTCAAAGGGTAAAAGCCGATTGGTTGCAGAGAACAAAAAAATGTTTTTTTATTACAACCCCCCCCCCCCCCCCCCCCACCCCCACCCCACCTATACATCCACAAACACAATAAAAGTTGCCCTCAGAGTTGATGACACTTATTTTATAGGATGGGATTGAGAGCAAGAAAGGTTGTATGTGGCACTGTGTACAAGTTTCAGCAAGCTGAATTGAAAACATTATTTTACATCTGGTACACTCAATTTAATTTTTACAAGGGGCGACTTGGAAGTTCTCTTTAAAATGTTGCACTCCAATTCCTGAGTCCTGTAAACAATGAAAATAGTCTAATAAGATTGTCTGCTTATTCTTTCTAGTCAAACAGCAGAGCAGTTGATTGCAGAGTCAGGTTGTGCCTTAGAACATCCAACTGCTGCCAGGTTCAGAGCTCATGTGATGGATGGTGAATGGGACAAGGTAAGGCTCCCTGTGAGGTTTTTGTTGTTGTTGTTTTTAAAGTGGGAATGATGGAAGGAAAGGTGAACTTCTGGTCAGGGGTCATTTTGAAGGTCAGTTTTTCTTCAGGAATCAATTCAGATCAGAATTACTCTTGTTGTAAAAGTTTTCGATATGTGAAAGGTAACTTATTGTGTGGAAAAGATTAAAGTTGTTACAAACAACCATCTTGTCCATTGTGAACTTGCCCATGGAAGGTAACACAGGTACAGGGTCATATTGAAATGATTGTCATCACCAGGTGGATATTTTAGACAATGCCATATAATCTAGAAATGGGGGGGGGGGGTCATCTCAGATAGGAGGCCGTTGGAGCAGGTTAGACTGTACTGTTTCTTGGCATTTGGAAAAAAAATTTCAATTAATCAGAAAGTCTTAATTTTCCAAAAAATTATTGTTGTTGTGCTTGAATCTCTCATGTCATTTTTAAAATGGTTTCTTTTCGTTCTGTTGCAGACAGAAGATGATCTCCATGAACTTGAGGCATTAGTGAAAGGCGGAAAGGAGGATGTCATAGTGAGTTATTACGTATTGTCTTAGAGTGCAGAGTATGGACAGGATGTGCAACATCTAAAAAAGAAGTGTTTGTATTTCACCACCATAAAAAAAAAAGAAGACAAAACAGATTTGAAAGGAGGGCAGGGGGGCTCTCGTGGCCTAGAAGTTAAGGTGTTGGCCTCTCATTCAAAGGTCCCGGGTTCGAATCCGGGTAGCGACCGAAAAATTTTCTTCTCTAAAATTGTCTCCTTTCACCTCCTTTCTTGCTCTCTAGCAATGTTCTGTTGTCTGCTTTCATTTCCACTTTCTGCCCCCACCCCCTCACCTCCTTTGCCCCCTCTTCTGGGCTCCTGACTCTTTCTGCAGCCTTTCTACTGCTACTCCTTGGCTCCTCCTTACTGCTGTCTTTCTGCCACACCCCTGATCTTCTGGTAGGAAAGATCTACACCTAGCCTTCTCGGACAAGGGCGAAAAATCTCTGAGGGCCCGTGTGCAAGTTGCGCACGTTAAAGATCCCTTGGTGGTCTAAAATCGATAAGAGTAGGCTTCGGCCGCCACCCGGGCAAAATTCAAAATTTCCTACCAACTGAAAATATTAGGAGTGTCCCGCGCGCTCATATGACCTATGCAGTTGCGAGCGCCGTAAAACACTTTACAAAAACAAAAGCAAAAAAAAGGAGGGCATTTTACTTTAGAAAATTACGGAACTGGAAATGTTTTCGAGATTTGTATTTCTTGTGTAGGCTGAGTATTCTTTGCTGTTGTAAGAAAACACCAATTTTTCTTTTTTACTTACCCTTTGACGTAGGCTCAAAGAGAATCTCTCATGTTTCTTGCAACCGTGACATGCTCTATATGTGATGTGCATCCATGGTTCAATTTTTGCTTATTCGGAATATCTGGGTTTTTTGGTCGTCTCTTTGACTAACGAAGATGTTTTTAGAAACCTGTGGAATGTAGTATAGTATTCTCAGTTTCTTACCAAAATATTTTCTGGTTTAATAGAGCTTGTAAGTGTTCTTAAAAGTAATTATAAATACATTTGTATCATTTTGTACCTAAAGCTTTACATGTAAATTGATATATGATTTTAGGCTGCTTTGTTTTATTAGAAACATTGTAATAGCAAAAAGTGAATTACAGGCTCAATACTAGTTCTGATATTGCTCTTTTGTGTAGCTTGTTAAAGTTGAATTGTGAATGGACACATTGGCTATTACCTTTGTTTACATTTTCATGTTAGACTAGAGAGGTCAGTGAGTGGTAATATCTATCTCTTGAAAATTATTAGTATGCTCTATCAAGGGTTTAGTTGTTTACATTCAAAGCTATAATGTATAATAAAGTCTTTGGGGTAAAAAAAGGTAATGGATCATTGTAAAGCATGTGTGTGTGTGTGTATGTGTGTTTACTTGGCCTTTTATGTATTGAAGCAGATGCAGTATTATTAATATATTAATGATCTTGTTTTGTTCTTTTTCTCAGAAAATGCGATTTCTCTTGTTGGAGCAAAAATACTTGGAGCTCCTGGAGGATGGAATCCCCTTGAAAGCTCTTGAGTGTCTGAGGCATGAGCTGACCCCACTTAAATACAACACAGAGAGAGTTCACGTTCTAAGCACGTAAGTAGAAGGCTTCTGCGTAATTGTGTATATGTTTCAGTTATTGATGACTTTTGATGTTCAAATTTGGTTGAAAGAACTGTACCTTGCTGTTATGAGACGTCCCCGAAATGGTTTAGAGAAGTAAAGTTTTAGAATATTTTGGTTTGTTTAGTATCTATTAGTATTTTGGGATGAAAAAATAAAAAATGCTTTTGTGATAGAGGGTAGCTTACATGTTTTTCTCATGTCTATTTTTATTATTAGGTTCTTTCTCTTTTTCTTTCTTTTTTAAATTTTGTTTGTTCTGAAGTTTTTAAATTTACAAAAAATTGAATATTGCTTTCAGGTACATGATGTGCAGTAGTGCTCCAGAATTGAGAGAAAGCTCACACTGGGAGGGGAAAGGCCCTGTCAGTCGTCAGAAACTCATTGAAAACCTTCAAGGTAAAAAACAGTATAGTTGAGCTGAAGAACAAAATAGGCCAGATGTTTCCACACCATGAAAATGGTTCTTGTTTTCAAACACAGTATTAATCACAACAAAGAGGATATAGTCAGACCTGCCACTCATCCCGATTTAATCGGGATATCCCGATTTTTTGCCCCAAATCTCGAGCATTCCAATTTTTCCGATTTCAGTCGCTAGTATCTTGATTTTTAGTTGTTGCGTCTGTTGCGTCCGATTCTTAGAGAGAGAAAAATGCTTGCTTGGAAGCAGGAACTTAAAACAATGTTTTCTAAAACATCAATGCCGGATCTAGTAGATGACTCACGCACGTTATATATTTCGAAGAAGTATCGATTTTGAACTCCGACTTGGATACTCTGGTTCTACTTTCGCTTTTGTTACCCAGAATTCTCCAATGATGGCCTGATTACTGTAACAATTGTGACATAGGCCTAAGAACAATCTATTCCTTGTTCTGCCGTTGCTTTAAAAGCAAGCTTCGTCCGAGTTCTGGTTTGTCGGGCCCATCATCAGTGACAGTCAGCAGTGAGACTTTGAAACCCTTGTTCGCATCACATGACATGACCTCGAATGTGTGAGTAGCGCGTGTGTCGGGGACTGCGGGTTGTCGAGGTCAACAAAGTTCATTCACACTGGTCGCGTTAGTCAAGGTGTTTTTCGGGACTAAACTAGTGTGGGACGACCGCGAGGGTAGGGGGTGAGGGTATATATTTTTTTGTTTACACTTAGGCTTAAAGTGCTTGCCGTGATACATTACTAATTGAGGATAAAGGAATAAGAAAATAATAGTAAGTGAACAATCTTGGCGCGCCTTTTTTTGTTTGTTGTTGTTTTTTTTGGGGGGGTGCCTAGAGTGTATGCGATTGAAGTCAAACGTTGTTACTGTATGGAAACGCGCACCTTTTGCATGGATGATTAGAGTTACATGTATGTGTAAGCTATTGTCAAGACTACGAGTTTCAGCATCACTGCAACCTGCGCTCCCCCGGTCTATGCCTATCCAACTCAGACTCGAGTACATGCTCTCTTTCAGTTTATTTCCTCTACTTTGAGGCCCAAATGGAAACTTATTCCTGCGAAAGTTTTATCTTGCTTGCTTGCCTCATAAAAGGGAGCCCTGACACCCCACCCCCTTTCCCAAGTGCCCCTTATGATTGATTTGCCGTTGATCCCGATTTTTTAACTCTTAAATCCTGATTTTTAGATTTCATAGAGTGGCAGGTCTGTATAGTATACTGGCATCTGTGGTGCAGTGGTTAGGTGCTTCGCTGGTGCTGCAAACAGAAGGATAGAATTCAAATCTCAAATGTGGAGAAAATTTTTATCAAGTATCTGTCTCGAATGTTTTGTCCAGCTCAGGCTGGGTTGGGTGAGAAGCCCACCTCTTAAATGATCTAAATTGTGTCAATGGGCCATTAAAAACCTCCTACATTTCAAAAAAAGAAGACGATATAATATGGGCACCCTTTACGTAAGTGCACATCTTCTGTGCACAAGTAGAAAATCATTTGAGTATTTAGTTTTATATTCTTTTAGGGGCGTTTGGATTTATCTTTAGCTGTAAAAATATCTAAGCTCTGAATTAGCTCTCATCTGTGAATAGATTGAGTAGAATGCAAATGAAACCATCTAAATATTTTTGTTTTGTTTTTAAAATATTGGAACCCTGGTTTCCGGCACAGTGATTCAGTGTCTTTCCCCATGAGTGTATCTCATACCTTCCTATAGAGAAGATTGCATGCTTTCATGAATAGATGATTGAATTTGCCCCCCAAGTTTTGAGTTCTTTTAGAAAGGTTATTTTGTACACATGAATACATATCCTTTTTAAAAAAAAAGATGGCAAAAAACAGATTTCCAGTTTATCAGTTCTCAGAAAGTCAAAATTTTTTAAGGACATGACATAGACCACACACCTTTTGCCTTTTCAATTGAAATACAAATTCTGTCTCTTGAGAAAGCCATATAGGGTTTTTCTGCTAGGAGAGATGTGGACACAGCTGTTTGACTCAATGTCACAGAGATGTAAAAAGATTGATCACACTCAGTATAATAGGCAATGTACAAAGAAGCCATTTTAGCTCATTCCAGACATTTTGCTGCACACAGTATCACAGAGACATCTGTGCAGTATGAAAAGCTACTCTTTTCATTGCTGCAATGTTTGTCTCATGTCCAGATTATTCTAAGTTTTAGATAGGCTTATTTTTGTTTTCCTTGTCATTATTACTCTGTTTTAATTCGTTATCTATTTCTGTTAAAAGGATACATTGTATGCCTGGGTTTAGGACTTGATGGATACATGAAAAGGATGTCACAAATCATACATAGATTTTTCATGCAATCATTTTAAATCTCAATTGGAGACTGCCAAATAATCCAATAAAATCTGATCTTTAGGAAGGATTCAGAGGAAAACTCCTGTTTTAGTCTTGGAGGGATTGGCAGGTCTGCCATTGCATTGGAAAGATACTTTTGTAGGAAAAAATCAGCAATTTAATTTTTATTCATTCATTGTGATTGTTTCTGACATACCCTGTTAACGTTTCTTTTGCAGAATTCCTACCCCCATCAATCATGCTCCCTCCACGCCGACTTTTCACTCTGCTCAGCCAAGCTGTGGAGCAACAGAAAGAGAAATGCCCCTACCACAATACACAGCTTGATTCAGATCTCTCCTCTATATCTCTACTCATGGATCACATTTGCACCAAGTCAGTATGATACATGCCCTTTGTGCAGAAGGAGTGTTCTTGGGAAGTCTTCTATTTTGTGGGCATGGGGGTGGTTGTGCGGGGGGGGTCAACTTCTTTTGTATTAGAGTGGTGTGCTGCTGGAAAAGATCTCTTATTGAGCCTCCTACTTTTTATTGTAGTAGCTGTTGTGTCAGCTCTTAAAATGTTTTGTCAAAGAATGCTGGGATATATTTTTTCTGAGAGTTATAAAATAAAATGAAAATAAGTATGGTGTGTGAGTTTTTGATGCAGAAAAGTAATGCGAAACTGTAAGAAAAAAATTGCAATTGTCTGAAAACAAATTATATATTCAGATTACGATATTTGTGTGTTTCAAATGTCATAAAACTTGTACTAAAGCTAAAAACTAGAAAAGAACACAAAATGATATAAGCATTGCCTTTGTCAGAAAGGAGTTTTTCAAAAGCAAGCAATGTTTTGTTACTATTTAGAGTGAACAGTGGCTTAACTCTTTATCTCCCTCGAGCAGCTTCCAGTGGCTCGCGGTTGGAACAGCTGTGCCGGTGGGTCACTGACAGCGGCTTGGGCACATTCCTTTACGATGACTTTTACATCAAATTACTTTTCAGCAGTCTCTTTTACCGGAAGTTCATTCATTAGATGAACTATCTAAATAGGTTTGCTGGTTTTGATTTAATGACCCATTTAATGATGTTTTTATCATTTTTAGATTTAGCACCAAAAAAGGGCCAGGGCATAGTGGGTTTACCCCCCTCAGAGATAAAGAGTTAAGGCAATGACCTGTTGAAGTAGGAGGTCAGTTCTTCCTAAGTCTGTCTCTCCTAATGATTTTGTGCTGCTCTGACAGGGAACAGTTCCCAAGTGCCACCACTCAGGTGCTGTGGGATCACTCGGATGAGGTTTGGTACTGCCAGTTCTCACCTGACGGAACCAGATTAGCCACAGGCTCCAAAGACAACAAACTTATCATATGGGATGTAGACCTGGTAAGTATCTAAGGTCTATTACGTTGAACCCTGTTGGCTGCTTTTGCTGTACATTTCCTTTAACCACGTTGGCTCATAGAGGCCTCCATAAGATTGACCCCACAGAAACAGTCTGGAATTTCCTGGCACTTGATTTTTTTTTTTGTTATGTCATAGCATTAATGGGTAGTTGTTGGTGAGCGTCTGTCGTTCTTCCGATTGGGGTTTTTACACTTAAATCTTGCTGTTGAGATTTAATTCAATGATTGTAAATAGTCTGTATGTGCTTACGGGGAAAATCTCATTTCCATGTAAAGTTTTGAATTGAAAAACTTCAAATATGGAAAAGCAACACAGAACAAGGACCTCCAATGATGTTTTTGGCTAAGGGGTTTTTTTTAGGCAGGTAACACTGGTTTAGTGTTTAGTAAAATAAAATCAATGATGGGGTTGTTGCTTGAAATTCAAGGTGATTTTGGTGCAACTAATGACGTATAGGGAGATATGTTTCAGCAACACTTGTTTCTGAAAAATATAATCTGGTGCTCCTGATATTTTTTAAAAGGTAAAGTATTTTTGGTTAATTATGTATGGAGCTGTTTCTTTCAAACTTTGCCAACACGCTGAAGTTGGAAGTAAAAAAATCCCAATGAGGTGTGGCTTTTTTTTTTCTGTCCGTTGTTGATTTTCCTTTCAACTTTTCTGACGGAGGACTGAGTGGACTTTCAAAATGGCCAATGGCATGCCTTGTAGGAAATTGATACTTAAATAATAAAGCAAAGATTGTACTGTGAATGCAAAGCTTACAAGATCATCTGGTGATTTTGACAGGATTTGTTTGAGGTGCGCCATCAACGAACTCTGGATGAACACAAGTTTGGAGTTGGATTTCTCACTTGGTGTCCAGACAATATGCACCTGCTTGTCTGTGGACCAGATGAAACAAATGAAGTTTACATATACAACGCTGTGGTAAGTACATGTCTGGGGGGGGGGGGGGGGGGGGAGTTAATGTCTCAACTGAAAAAAATGTTACTGAGTAAGAAAATTACGTTTTTTTTCTTGAATGGAAATTTTCTCATTACGGTCTTAAGTGGGGAATTTTAAAAAAAAGTAACCTTTTGTGTGTATAATTTCTACCCATTTAAGTAATTAACTACTACAAGAAAAGTGTTTCTTTCAGGAATGTTCATTCTCCATGTGAAGGGGTAAAGCAGGCGAAAGTTCAGTTTTAAGAGAAGTCTGGGGAGGGGGGGGGGGGGCTGCTTAGAGAGAGTACGTTTTGCTATTGGTCATCTCGACAATGGTTCATGCCATTCCTCGTAAGCAGAGGGCAGATGAATGCTGTGTACCCAAAGCCATTCCTTAATGTTGTTTAGAACTCGTTGAGATGTAACGATGGAAATGCGCAGTCTGAAATACAGTGCTTCTGCAAGTGTAAATTCTCACTGCTTCTTCTCTTGAAAGATGCTTGGTAATTATTTCTTGTTTTATGTCTGTGTAGGGGGGGCAATCGACGGGAAAAGTCCTTAAGTATATTAATCTTTTCTCATGTCTTCTTTTTCTTTTTTTCCCCTCCATATGGTAACTGTCACTGCGTCAGTTGAATAAACCCAACGTATGCGTTCTTCGTACTATTACAGTGAAATGAATGGTTGATGAGCGGTCAGGTGTAATCTTCTCCTTTTTCAACATTCCAGTGTTGCTATTGATGCTCTCTTATCAGTTCCTGACAAAATGTGGGTGTTCTCTAGCAGATTCACCACAAGTTAGTTCCCTGTGACTGAAATGTTTGTAACTATTTCAATGGGTGGCTGGCAGTCACCTTATTGTGGTTTGCTCCTTCTTTCATACCAAATATCTATGATCCTTTTCTTTCCTCCTTTTTTTCTTAGTTTGTTACTTTGTTACTCTTCAGTAACACCTAAATCTTTGGCACTTATATGACCTATTTGTGTTGCTAATGCTGTAAAACTCTTACGAAAACAAAGTACCTATTTCCTTACATTATTTTCTTCCATGTTAATGTTTTATTTCTCACAGACCGGAGAAGTCCGGCAGAGAATCCACCAGAACAGTGATGATAGCCTAACGTACGCTGCCTGGATGCCAGATGGCCGCAAGCTTGTGGTGGGAGGTGTCAGGGGACAGTTTTATTATTGTGTATGTATTCCTTGTTCTCTTAGAAGAAAAAAAATTCTTACCCATATCATGATTTTTTTTTTTTTAAGTTTTTGTTTCATAAAACCAGTATATCTTTGATTAGACCATGGTAAGTATTTCCAAGGAAGCAAGTGCTTGGATTTTTCGTGCATGAAATAGTGTTCCAACTTGTAACTTTGTTACTGACAGTGAAAAGCAAGTATTTTTTGGTACCCGAAGAAACGCTGTCAGTGTTGTGGTACCTGCTGGCAGGTTTGCTGTTGATCTGTCAAGCCTAAGGAATATAGCACTTTAAAGTATTTCAAAGTACAGTAGTTTCCGCCTTAGATCCCACCGCTTATGGTCCCGGTTCGTCTAAGATCCCGCTGTTTTAGAAAACCAGAATTTTTACTATATAAAAGTCACCCCTAACTGTCCACTCTGAAGGAGCTACATTCGGCTAAGATCCCACTTTTCATGTTGTGATTTAGTTGTTTTTTTCTTAATTCAAGGAAAGAAAAAAAAAAAAAAGAAACCTGGGCGCGCTCAGCTGATCAACCAAGTAGCGAAAATGTGCGATCATTGTACGGTCCGTCGCGTCACGGATCATTCACTCTCATGAATGCGATCGCACCTCTGTTGTAAATCTCGATAAGCGGTTACAATGTTTACCCCAGACATGATCGCACCAAGGTGTGAACTCACCGATGCCTTGCTTTCCCTGATCACCTGAGCCATCCGCCTGATCTTCAGGGTTCCCGCGGCCTCCTTGAATTCAAGGAGTCCTTGAAAACTGCTTGAATTTGCTTTCAAGGAAAAATCTCCTTGAAAACTCCTTGAATTTGCGTTCTTGGAAAAGTCTCCTTGAAAACTCCTTGAATTTTGTCAGATCGGACAAGAACACGTGTACAGAGTGACTGCCAGGCCCCGGGAATCCCGGGGGCCCCTGGAATTACCCAACAATTTGAAAAAAATCGCCGAGACCCGGAATGCAACGGGAATTTGAAGAAATCTGTAAATTGCCCCGTGAAAGACCCGGGAAAATACATAAACGTTCTCGAATATTTGAAAACCAAATCCGATAACGTCCTTGGGTCCATTTTTGCGGGTCGCGGTTGTGATATAATATAATTCATTCGGCCGGTCCCGGCCCGTGAGTACGTTACACGTGCACAGGCGGTTATGGCGTCAACTAGTGAAAGTGTATATGCGATGGGATGGACCTTCGATATGCGATACAGAAGCTCGATCGGGAAAATCAAGATCTACTTTCGCTTTCTGTACCACCAAGAAATTTGCTGGTAGGGCCTATAGTAGTCTGATAGCGCCACATTTGTAACATGCAGGTTGTTTTACATACGCTGTGTCGCCATGAAAACAATTCGTTTGTCCTGTGCTGTCACTTGTGAAAAAAACAGAAAGAAAAAGAATGCTTCTTGTCGAGCTCGCCGTCGTGACCGGTCATTGAACCCGTGCGTTTTCGTCACATCGTGAGTATCGCCGATGGTTGAGGTCACCAAAGTTCATGCTAAGTCTGAGCGCTGCGAAGTATAGGATTCGGGAAAGGGGGGATTATTCTTTTTTTCCTTAAAGACACATGGGGGGGGGGGGGGGGGCTGAGGTTGAAGGCAACATCGGATGGAAGCAGATTTTACTTTAAAAAATTTTGATTACTACTATCTAGAGCTCTCTGCACAGCGCACGTTGGTGCAGGCCTTGTGTAAGCCGTGTTTTTGTAACTCTGTATTATTTTAGCTTTCTGTTCAAGATTTGCAGATTTTCAGTGTCACTGCATCTTGTCCCCCCCCCCTCAGTTCTTACACCTCTAACACTAAATAGGTCTTCTTGAGCCATTCATGTTATTGCTCTACTTTGAGTTAGAGCAATGATATTTGTCTTTCACGTTTATTATACATATAAACTTTGACACCCTAAACTGGTTCTTGACAGTGGATATTCTGGTTCTAGACCTTTTCTCTGGCTCAATGCAAGATTCATTTTTATATAGTTAATATAGGCGAATATGATGAGGCGAAAATATAAATAAAAGTAAGAACAGACTGAAATACCTGTCACACAGTATCCCAGTGCCACACTGACTGAATATAATGTACCTACATGGGTGCGTGCCACGTGTGTGTGTGTATATTATATTTATAATATATAAATGGAGCATGCACTGTCATTGTTATGTAACATGCCCCTGGAGAATCGATGCCCCCCCCCCTCCCCCAACCGCCTGGAAAATTGAGAAGCCGGGTTGGCAGTCACCCTGAGAACAGTTTTTGTAGGAAAATTGAAACTATGATATGGTTCCTTTCGGACAAGTGTAGGCCTTCGTCGAAAATAGGCTTTCGTCATGAATTTTTTGACCAAATCTCCTTGAATTAAAAAAATTTCTCCTTGAAACCTCCTTGAAACCTCCTTGAATTTGATGGAAAGTTCATGGCAGGAACCCTGGATATTACATCACACACTAGGTGTGGAAGGCCAACAAGCAAGCACTAGTCTGCATTCTATCAAACTGTGAACTCCTGGACGCTTACTTTTTCCCGACCATCGCTCTCGTCTTTCAGTTTTGCGCTCGAACTTCCTTGACAGACTGGCGCCCATATTCGTGGACTGTCCGATCACCTCTGCGTAATGGGGTCATCTGTTGGCAGTGGACCTGCCTTTCATTTTTTTTTTAAATTGGTCGCTGTGGTCACAACACAACGATTTATGATGTTTCATGACATGGAAGGGGTACTCTGTTAGAGATGGAAAGCAATACATTTTTGATGGGGGGGGGCATTGCTTGGAGCCAACTGGTTCCCACCTGATATGATTTTTTTTTTTAAAGCCCCCCCCTCCCCCCCAAAGTAAAACTGACTTCTGAAAAGAACTTATAGCGCTCAGGAGTCACTTCAGTTCATTTTAAAGTAAGGGAAGATCATTGTACAGATTATGTGCCTAACCATAAGTTGCTGTGAATTCTTCCCCCTGGCCATTCGCCTAAGGTTCCGCATCTTCCTTGCTCCCGAGCACCGGGATCTTAGGTGGAGACTACTGTATTCATTTTATTGCGGCAGAATATATGTTAGAGATAGAGAAGGGCAAGCCTCTAGCTCAGATGCTGTCATGCTGCATTATCATGCAGTTGATCCTATTTTGATTCCCTAATAAGGCCATTTCAACATGTCTTTGGTAGCTTTTCAATGTTCTCCACCCTTTAGACTTGGACTTTGCAGTGTTATACGGAGTGTGAAACCTGTATCTGGCATTATTTGTTGTTGTTTCTGATACTGGATTGTACAGGTCTTTGTATTTAGACTAATAAAATAATTGCATTTATTTGGCAAATAGCTACACTCTAGAGATGTTCTGGGCACTTTACAACTCGTACCAGGCTGAGTGCTGTGTATTTAGATGTCTGTTTTTAATTTTTTCAGGACATCGATGGTAATGTGATAGACACATGGGAAGGCATAAGGATACAAGGTCTGGCAGCGTTGGATGACAAAGTAGTGCTGGCAGCTGACACACATAACAGAGTGCGAGCCTACAATTTTGACACACTGCAAGACTTTCCCATGTGAGGGCGTTTAACTTTTTACCATTTGTTGTTGTCATTGTTGTTTTTAAAAAAATATGTTTGCTTACTTTACATGTGTTAGTCTTGCTTGTCTTCTTGTTTTTCTGTCATCAAGTACTTGTGTCTCTTTCTCTCACTCACCCCCCCCCCTCTCTCCCCATCTCTCTCTTCTCCCCCTCTCCCCCCCCCTCTCCCCTCTCTTTCTCTTTCTCTCTCTCTCTCTCTCTCTCTCTCTCTCTCTCTCTCTCTCTCTCTCTCTCTCTCAAACACCCCCCCCCCTTGTGAACTTAAGTTGATAAAACTAACACACGTTTGTTTTACTGTTTATGGAGCTTTAACACCTGATCATTAGTTTACTGCATATCATCGTGTATAAGACTCAACTTTTACCCTAAAATGAAGGATTCAAAGTCACTGTTGTGTCTTTTTTATGATATTCAAAATTAGACCCCAAGAACCCAGTGGGAGTGGGTGGTTGGCGGGTGCTCTGGTGTGGTCTGCCCCTTCTTTCCTATCAAACATCTATCGTCCTTATCTCTCCACCTTTTTTTTTGCGTTTGTTACCCTCTACAGACCTGCCACTCATCCCGATTTAGTCGGGATATCCCGATTTTTTTGCCCCAAATCTCAAGCATCCCGATTTTCCAGATTTCGATCGCGTGCATCCCGATTTTTTGTCCCAGCCTGCTGTTGTGCCGGATTTTTCTAAAAACTTGCTCTGCCTTCTCCTTTATCGCGGGAGTAGCACCCGTTGAACTTTTTGTCAGTAGGAACTCGGAGCACTATTTCCTGAAATATCAATGCCGCATTTAGTAGCTGACTCGCCCCAGGTTGTGTGTGATCTTTGCCCGCATTCAGAACTCTCCAATGATAGCCTGGTAACTGTTACAATTTGGAACATTTAATAATCGATAATATTCGTAGTTCCGCTGTTACTTTCAAAACAAGCCTTGTCCGAGGTCTGGTAAATGCTCGTTCACATCAAACACTCGGACGAGCGACAGTCTTTCTAACCCTTACACAACTACATGTAACTGCGCTGACAAGACTAACATACGGCCGTTGTCGTTGCTTTAGTCTGAACGCATTATGAGGGATAAGAGATTTGTTGGTACAATTGGTCGGTCGGCCGTCGTCGTTATCCTAAGAGTACAAGAAGTAGAACGACTGTCGCTCATCCGAGTGTTTTGTGTGGACATGCAGTGAGTCGGACCCGTTAATAAAATTGTTTTAATCGCGCATTCGCGTCACGTGACACGACATCGCCGTGTGAGTTCTGCGTGTCGGGGACCGTCCATTGATGGGGTCAACTTATGTTCATGTATTTCGGGACTTATTGGTGGGGTGGGGTGGGGGGTATAGACACTAGGACTAGGAGTGCTTGACGTGATGCTTCAGGACTTACAAAAACTAATAACTCGCGCGCGCGTGTGCGCGCTCGCAAACAAACAAAGACACACAGAGGGCATATAGGCCAAGTAATTTATGGACACCCTGGAAAAATATTAGCTTTGGCAGTCTCCTTGGTGATTTGCTGTTGATCCCGATTTTTTTCACAAAATCCCGATTTTTTTCTCCCTGAGATCCTGAATTTGAAGTGGCAGGTCTGCTGTATCACCTCTAATCCTCGGCACTTTTATGACCTTATTGTTTTGCAAGTGCCGTAAAACTCTTACTAAAACAAACCCAGTGGGAGCTGACACATTACACTGGCTCCTTAGTTCAACTTTTCAGTAAAATTTGTTTTACATCCCACATCAAGTGTCCCTTTATCATTTTAGAGGCTATTTACTGTGGATGTTCATCATTAGGCTCTCTCAGTGTTTTCAATGACTATCAACCATTACACTGTAGATCTTGATCTGAGGCTTCTGATGTAATACAAGTTAATGAAAAAAAAATCGATTTGTTTTGTTTTGAAGTGTGATAGTTAATGAAAAATCCGTGAACAAAGGTGATGGTGCTTTCCATTAGTAAGTTTGTGCGTCTTTTTTAATTAACACATGATTTACTAGCTGGGCCCCCTTTCCATGAAAGGAATGATCGGAGCATTAACATCAACTGAAAGTCGTTGGCTTTCTATATTTACACTCTACTGGAATTTATACTCTCAAAACAAAATGCGCCCGACGAAATATCACTTCCGGTACTTCTACTGTGATGGACAGCTGCGCAGAATTGTTTCATTTCTCAGTAGAATAATCACAAAGGCCAAAGAAGGACAGGAACTTTTTGTCAAATATATTTGTCTAAATTCAGGAAATGAATAAATAAAAAATCAGGCTCCGTCATGGGGACCTATCTATCTTTTTGCAGGTACTTGCCAACTTTCAACTCTGTAGCTGTCATAGTTTTATGGAAAAAGTGACATATGTGTTTTCAAGTTGCCATATATATAATAGATGTATAAATTGATTCTCTATTCCGCTTTCGTGGTTGTACTCTCCAGAATTTCACAAGGTGTGGAATCAATGCGCACGGCTAGTGAACAGAAACCTCACTTGTTTATAATGGCATCTTAGAAGACAGACTTTTCCAAGATTAGAATTAGATGTAAACGAAACTAATGAAAAACTGAAAATTAAACTACAGTGACTTCAGGCTCCTCAATAAAACTGTGCGCCCTTTAAATGATTCTGAACCCACATTAATTTTATCAAATTCGAAAGTTAAGTGGGGCGGAAGTTTTAGGCGGCCAAAGTGACGTACTTTCACAAATATAATATACAGTAGTCTCTGCCTAAGATCCCACCGCTTACGATCCCGGTTCGCTTAAGATCCCGCTGTTTTAAGAAAACAGAATTTTTACTATACAAAAGTCACCCCTAAGATCCCGCTCTGATGGTCTACATTCGGCTAAGATCCCGCATTTCAGATCCTAATTTGCTATTCAAAAACCCGGGCGGGCATAGCCGATCAACCTAGAGTGAAAAGTTAAGATAAATAAACTGTCCGTCGCGTCAAAGATCAACCACTATCGTGAATGTGATCACATACACGTTGTAAAACTCGATGAAGCGATACAATGTTTGCCCCAGACGGGATCACACCGGGGTGTGAACTGACCGACGCGTTTGTTTTCCCCACGCATCGCACTCACACCTGAGCTCGCCACCTAAACTTGCATCACTCGCTGGGTGGGTAGGGCCTACACGTTCGCTCCAGGCAGGATCACATCGAACCGTGAACTCTTCCTTGACCATGTCCATTGCAGCAGTTGTCTGTACTCCCGAATTTGCGAGACAGACTGAATTTTAATTGGTGGGATCACAACGTAATGGTGTGTAACGACAAAGGCGGTTTGGAGGGGGGGGGGGGGGACTCGGTCAGAGATGGAAAGCTATAAATTTTTGACAGGTAAAGAGGAGGGGCAACTGGATAAGCGTAGATCTTGAGACTCATGATAGGATTATAAGTGAAAATGGCACGCCTCATGCCACTAAGCACCGTGATAGGTCATCAAGGTTAACCACTCTTTGCTCGTCATATGCCATAAACCCACCAAGGGGGCACGTCAGTTCATTGTAGAGAGGAGGGAGACCATTTTACCGATTGTGAGCCTTAACATGGGTCACCATAGATTCTTCCCTGGGTTCAATGGTTAAGATCCCGGTTCGCCTAAGATCCCGCATTTCCTTGCTCCCGAGCACCGGGATCTTAGGCGAAGACTACTGTATAGAGATACCAAAACTTTGGCTCTCCTGTCTACCTAGGCCTTATCAGCACATGCATCCTATATGCGATGATTATACAGTACTCTTTGGCACTAATCACTTAGTTTTATACAGCTGTACTGTCTAAAATAGTGCTTGCCTGAAATAAATTCATCTTGCAAAGATTTTGTGGCAGGTGTGAGGGTGCCACGAGTACATCTTGCTTTTATAGCTCAAGATGTCGTGTCCTGAATTGTATTGACATACTTCCCTTTGCTCGGACTCGGGACTATGCAGATTTGAAGGAGCAGATCTTTTAATCTACTTTTTACATTCCATAGATTTTATGTAAATTCGCTCTGTATCGGGATGAAAGGAGAGGTTTGTTGGCAGCGTCTACTTTTTAAAGGGCTTTTGTTTGTAAATATTTTACCTTCCAGATGTTACCATACAATCTGCTTGTTATTTATATGTTGCATAATAAACTTTCTCGTGAAGGTCAATTCAACTCCCATTTTCTGTTTTCTCTTTACTTCAGACATGACAACTGCACAAGTGTCTCTGTATGACCATGGTATATTTCATTTTTGTAAACAAATGGTGCATTGGGTCTCTCTCAACAACTTAGAAATAATGTACAGAAGGTTTAGAGGTAAGGGGAGAAGTGTGGATGTTCAAACTATTCTTTTTTAGGTGGTTGGCGGGTGCTTTGGTGTGGTTTGCTCCTTCTTTCCTATCAAACGTCTATCAACCTGATCTCTCCTCCTTCTTTTTTATGTTTGTTACTCTCTTATAACACCTCTGATCTTCGGCACTTACATGACCTTATTGTGTTGCAAGTGCCATAAAACTCTTACTTTAAAAATAATGCTTTTTTAAAAACTATTTTTTTTTCTCTCATTGAGTTCATGCTTTTCAAAGGCCATGCTGAATACATTTTTTTATATTGTTTCAGAATTCAAGAAGACCATCCAATCATGACGTTTGTCGTAGATGACAAGAAAGAATATGCATTAGTCAATGTTGCATCTCAGGTAAGATTTAAGGTTTCAAATTGCAGCAGACTCATGGCAAGCAGGAGCCAGACTGATGTCACTGAACGTGAACTGTCTAAATTTCATGTGGGGGTGAAAAACACTTTTTTATCAAGAGTTGAGCAGAGCTGGTAAATTTATTTCCCCTACCAAGAGTGTTGCAGAGTTGCCCTTTTTAAATCTAAAAATGACAAATTTGTTTTCGTTGACAGAAGCCTCACTTTTGACCTTGTGCAAGGAGAAGACAACTTTTTATAGTGCTTATTACACTTTTTTTTTTTTTCACTGAAAGGTTGAAATATGCTGAGGTGCTTTATTGATTTCAGTTCTGAAGCTCACCAGGGAGGCTTCATGCAGTGTCTTCTTTTGTGGGCTGATAAGGTGGCCATTGTTGTTGTGTCATTCTGAACGAGATGAGACAACTGCAACTCTGAAGTCCTGGGTTCATGAACACACCGTACTTTGTTTTTAGCCCCCGTACAATATAACAGGGAGGGAGGTGGGTGCTTTGATATTTTCTGCTTTTTCCTCTTGTGTTTACGTTGTCTTTACATATTAATTATGAGTCTAGCTGTTGTGATTGTGATGTACTTACTGGGAACAATGACTTGGCAGTGATACACTCTGCAGGACAAATCTTTTCTCTGAGGTTTGATAAAAATATCTTACTTTTTTAAATGGCTATAGTGAATTTCGATTATAAAGGTAAGGTAAGCACTGGAGGTTAAGGACAGATTGATGATGTCACTCCTAGGTTCTGCTTCCTTTTTGTTTTTCTATTTCTTCTGTCTTCTCTTTCCTCTGTTGCATCTGCTTGCTTTTTTGTCTTTTGCTCTCTATACTTTTTATGCTGTACAGTTTCAGATAGATAGGAGCTGCAAAATTGTCTGCTCTTTTTACTTTTCTTTTCTGTCTTTCTATTGTGAACTTTATGTGTGATAGTAATCACAATGTCATGATTTCACTCATTTCACTTGGGGGGGGGGGGGGGGTAGGTATGGAATGAGTCTTCTCTTTTCTCTCAATGTAGGGTGCATGGATGTAGTTATTCATTGAAGATGTGAAGGGGATGAGTTCACGTCGTTGTAAATTATTTTTTGTGCATGCAGGGAAGACTCCACTGGCTAATCAACAAGTTTAAAATGTTTGAAGTGGAAAAGGTCTTTGGAAGAACAAAAAAGAACTGACTTAAACTGTCATAATATTTATACTGCTTTGCTTCCTACGTCTACTTTGCTAACAACGCAAGGCAGAAAATAATGTGTTGATTTAAAGAAGAAAAAACATGAGCTTGTGTAGCATTTTGGACTTAATTGAATTTTCCTTTTGCTTTTTTTTTCTCACATTTTTTATATCTTCCTTTGGGAGTCTCACCTGACAGACTAACTGTGCTAGAAAGAGTGGCTTATTGCCCTGGTCTCTCAGCTTAGTATTTATAGATACCCTTTATCTTCTTATAAGGGTTGCCATCTGTGGGATCTGAAGGACAAGGTTCTGCTACGCAAGTTCCATGGTCAGACCCAGGCTTTCTTCACTATTTATTCCTGTTTTGGCGGCCTCAACCAAGACTATGTAGCCAGTGGGAGTGAAGGTGAGCAGTTTCGACATTTTGAACCTTTTTTATAGACAAGTTACTATAATATTTAACACACGAAAAGAGACAAATGTTCAATGCGCATTATTTCATCAAGGAAACTGTTTTTAACAACACAAAATATTTTTCTTAAAATGTTACTGATATTTGTATCACTTATAATTTTTGCTGTTTCTCGAAAATCTTTTCTTAGAAATGTGTAGACTTACTGATGTGAGTAAATGGCCCTAAACACCGAATAAGATAGCTATAGGCTACCTATAAGACAAATTAATGACATGTCTTAACATGGACATTTTTTTTGCCCAGGCTTCAGAGCATAGCTGTTATGGATGTCTTGTGAACCTTTTATAAGACACAGTTTGTCATCATCTACGGGGTCTGTTTGATGGCTGTTAATCTCTTAATAACGAGAAGGAAAAAATTGAGCTGTGGAATTTTGTTTCACTTCAGATCACAAGGTTTTTATCTGGCACAAGAGGCGAGAGTCTCCCGTTGCTGTTCTTGAGGGACACCGACTCACGGTCAACTGTGTGCACTGGAACCCTTGTGAGCCGAGCATGCTGGCCAGTGCGTCAGATGATGGAACTGTCAGGATCTGGGGGCCAAAAGACAAGCAGAGGAGGAGAAAAGGTGAGAATTTTCTCCCTTTGAAGATGTTTTAAAACATTGCTTATGACAATTCAGCACAGGGCTTTAAATTTTTTCACTTAATTTTCTCATCCCTGTGTCAAACAACCCCCCCAGCCCCCTTTTAAAAAAATAATGAAGGCATATTTTCAAAGGGAGAAAATAACTCCCTAGTTACAGCTGGTTTAAGGGTTATTGCCAATCGGTTGCTCAACATTTGCAGACGTCCAAGTGAACTAAATGTGACTTATGCTTAGACTATTGTTCCAAAAATGTGACATATTGGTGGATCTTTTGTGTGATGCTACTCTTTTCCAAGAACAGTGCAAGTATACTTCAGGACAAACATGCACTTCTCTTTAATGCTGTCACCCACCTTAGAAATCCATATGACCTGTAATGGTCCCCGAGGCTCAGCTGCTACTTCTCAAAACTGGTCCTTATGGGTTCGTGCTATGAGGGCATGAATTTTTTTCCCTTCCCCAGAAAAAAATCTGAGGGACAAGTTTAACCTGTGTAATTTTAATGGAATTTGGCTTTTGATGGTAGTAGTACACTTTTCAAGCTAATGCAAGGGGTGAAATGTGGCTAGAGTCGTGCTCACTCATCTTACAGCAGCACCTCCGCCCATCTGCACATTCGAAGGTGGTCTCATGCTAGACACTGAAGTTTTTTAAAGGGCAAGTGCTGAGAGTGCTTTTTTAGCTATAAAGGACTCAATTTTGCTTGGCTGGTCATGTAAAAATGCCTGATTTCAAAATCCCAAAGGCAGTGTTTTATTCTTAGCTCCCTCCAAAGACACATAATGTTGGTGCTGAAAAAAATATTACAAAGAAACCCAAAAAATATCTGAAAAGCTTCCACATGATAGAGTCTAGCCCCAGACAGACCCACTTGTAGAGGAGCAGTCATAGTGGGCAGCAAATCGTGTAGGGCTTCATGAATCAAAAATGCTGATGCCAAGGGAGAAGCCTGCAAACTGCATATCCACTACTGAAAATGAATCTTTTAAATGCTCTAAATGTGACTATTGGCATTTTTCTTTTGACTTAACACCTTATATAATCATTTAAAAACACATTTCTGTGTGGATTTTACTGTAAAACATTGATCAAAGGCACAAAAATGTTAATTTGCAATTTCTAAGGACACTCAAGCTTTGTAAGTCTCCCAAACATTGTGGCCGTTTTCTCGCTAATTTTATCTCTGACAACAGGTGACCCCACTTCCATTAATTGCAAATGTCTCGACTTTTAATAAAAATAGTTGGGTATTGTTTTCCCACCAAAAGCAAGAGAGATGAACAAGCTTTAAGATGATAAGGATCTGGTTCAGCCCTTTCAGGACTCACAAATGTAAAAGGAGTTTTCCTTCCACCAGTGTCAGTCAGGAGACATTTTTAAGTGACTTTTTTAAGCTCACACAATTGTTCTGGTACATTCCCACAGACATGGCAAGTGGCAGTAACTAGCTAAGTCTTTTCAGAGTGTTGTTGGTCCTCACTTTTGGAAAAACAGTTTTAAAGTATGATAATTGTTTCCTGCTGTTTGTACATGGGGGAAGGAGGGAGAATTTTGACTTAATGAGTACTTTTCAAAGGACTTCAGCCCCTTTTTAAACTTTCATGGCTACTTTTACTACAATCAAGGTTTGATTATTGTATAGCATGTTCATAGTCTTGTACCCATAAATAAATTTTAAAAGGCACAAATACTGAATTGTTCCCTTCACACCTCAAATCAGGGCTCCGGGCAAGAACTAGTCAGAAATCTTGTTTTTAACTTTTGCAATAGGAAAGATTAGTTTTAATTTCTACTTTCATTCTAATTTGTTTGTTAGTAAAACATGGATGATTCAAGATCTTCAGCATCTATTTGACTTATCTGTGTTGCAAGTGCCGTAAAACTCTTAAGGGGGCTCTCGTGGCCTAGAGGTTAGGGTGTTCGCCTCTCATTCAAAGGTCCTGGGTTCGAATCCAGCTAGCGACCGAAAAATTTTCTTCTCTAAAATTGTCTCCTTTCACCTCATTTCTTGCTCTCTAGCAATGTTCTGTCTGCTTTCGTTTCCTCTTTCAGCCCCACCCCCTTCACTCACCTCCTTTGCTCCCTCCTCTGGGCTCCTGACTCTTTCTGCAGCCTTTCTTCTGCTACTCCTTGGCTCTTTCTTACAGCTGTCTTTCAGCCACACCCCTGATCTTCTGGTAGGAAAGATCTACACTTAGCCTTCTCTGACAAGGAGGTCCCGTGTGCAAGTTGCACATGTTAAAGATCCCTTCGTGGTCTAGAATCGATAAGTGTAGGCTTCGGCCGCCACCCGCGTAAAATTCAAAATTTCCTACCAACAGAAAAAGTTTAATGTGTCCCGCGCGCTCATATGACCTTATGTCCTCAGAAATTCGCACTCATAACTTTTGCCCTTGACTCAACTTTTGCCATTTTCGTGAATTCGCGATTTTTAGCCAATTTTCCGCAAAAGTTAAAAACACCGAAATTTTCTTCCACGACTAAAAATATCAACGTCAAGGGGGACAATTCATTCCTTTGCACTATGGGGTGCCCGGCCCAGTGTCCATTGCGGATGGCATCGGGTCAGGTCGGGTTGGGATGATCACCCAACTCGTCGCCTAAAAACAACGTGTTTGTTTTTGAGGCAACGAGGCGGGCGCGATCGACTTGGGTCATGATAGCCGCTTTGCGCCATCTATCTGGCGAGCAAACCGACCTAACCCGACCCCCCAATAGTCCTGTTTTCTGTTAGGACTGAATCATCTTCTGGATCTTACTAGATCTAGATCAAGTCAATCGTAAACACGATCGTCTGATTACTTAGCTTGCTTGGTTCCGTAGCACCAGATAGATCTAGATCTAGTATAAAAATTAGTGAAACGCTTTAAATCTTAGGCTAGGAGGGTAGATCGAGATTTAGACATGGATCGATTCATCCAGATAACCACTAAAGGGGACTTACTTAACTTTAATTTTTTCTTCCGCTTGTAACTGTGGGTGTCGCGGGGAGACACAGGAGTCTTGTCTGCAGCAAGGCGAGTGGCCTGTAGGAGGGACATCCCGTGAGCTCTGTGTCCCATTTTATTTTCTTGAGCAATATTAATATCCGCTGCTGGCCTGCTAAGCCAGTCAGTTTCACCAGAGCCCCGTTGGCCAGCAACGTTTCAGGGTGACCTGGGTCGGCCTTCAAGGCTAGCGTACGCCTCAGTGACATAAAGTCACACCGTACTTCACCCAGACCCAGCTATCCCCTACTTTGTCCTGTTTCCATCTCCCACGGTGTGGACGAGGGGTTGGACTTCGAGAAACCTAAAGAGGACGTTAAAAAATATTCGTATGACTGGAGATAAAAAGGTGGGGGGGCGCTCTTTGACTCCTGTAAAAAGAAAAGTGTTTGGGAGGGGGG